TTCCTGGCAAGGAATTGGGAGATGAGACCCAGCTGTGTGGAGAGATCCTACTGGCTGGGCCTGGCACAATGTGTGCTTTCCCACAAGGAAGAGCCTCTGTGCCCAGTGGGGCACGAATCTCACACCCATCCTTTGGGTCTCTGTTTCTGATGGAGAAACGCCCATTGGAGCCAGGCTACCTCTGCCTCCACATCTTGGCTGCTGTCTGGAGTCACAGATACTATGACCCCTGCCCGGTTCTGTCACTTCAGGGCTGAGAACATGACCCTGCTTCCAGCTTATGCGTGTCACCCTCCAAGGATTTGCACATCCTCAACAGAGGAGATGTGGCTTGGAGGGAAGTAGAATGGGGAGAAGGGCCCCATGGAGAGAGGTCCCTGCTCCAACCTTGGCAATGCCCCACCCGGCAACTTCAGCTGGATCCTTCCATTTTCATTTCCAACAACTGGGGCTGATTTCCTGGCATGTACTGCCCACATCACATAAAACTGGGCATAAAAACCTCAGTCTAAGACAGGTTCTTCTCTTCTGACAGAAAACTCAAGCCAGATCTGGAGCCCTACTTGGAATCTCACCTTGTCTGGACTGCCCTCAAGATTACCTTTCAGATAGGCAGTGGGAGCCACAGGAGCCACTAAATGGATGTAAATCCTCCTTCTCCTTCTCTTCCTTGTAGCCTTCAGTCACAGGAGTGACACTGGCCCCTGCTCCCTGGAAGAGCTCAAGGAGCAGAGATCAGGGTGGGGATAGTCAGAGGTGGGAGCAAGCCATGCTCTGTGCTCTTGTGCCTGGACTCTGTCTTGAGGTTCAGCTGACATCTGCCACAGCTTGGCTCTTCCATGTTCTGCTGTGCAGAGAGAGGTGAAGGCCTTGGATCAAGGAACCACTGGTCAGCCATCGATCAGGCCAGGAAGTGTGTCTGGGGTCTCACCCAGGCTCCCTGTAACAACCTGCAGCCACCCCATGGCAGGTGTAGCCCCACTTACCCTGACATTAACCCTGAGTTCTCTCCCCTTGCAGGAAGCTTAGGAACAATACACCTCATCCTTGGACAGGCACCTGAAGTGCCTGCTAGAGTCAGCCCCAAGGTTAGGGAGACTCCAGTACCTGTTTGAGGTGAGCACAGTGTAGAGAGGCTGGGTTGAGGAGTTCTCTCTCCTTCCAGATGTGTTGTTCATGACTCTGACATTTGGCATAGGATGGACTCAGGCCTGGGACAGAACATGACCCCATCCTCAAGGCAAGACCAGGTTGTCACCACTCCTGATTTACTTTGACCAGTGAGGCAGAGGTTCCAGCCTGAGCACAAAGTCTAAGCATAAGGGAGAAGGTGAGGAAAGGGCTCACTGGTGCAGCAGGAGCAGGTGCCCAGTGACTGTGTCCTGCGCACTTTAAGATTTGTCTGAGTCCAGCAACACCACAGCAAAAGTCAGGGCCATTAAGAGCAGCAGCGCCCTTTTCTGCTGCACCAGGCAGCTCCTCCCAAAGTTTGAGGTTGATGACCTGAGACACCAGGCAAAAAACAGTGCCCTGGGGAGGCAAAAACAGTGCCATATTTAAAACCTCAGTTTTCGCTTCCCTAGCTGGGCAGAAGTGAGCTGCAAGCGGGGCCCCTCCACCAATCAGCGATGTGGGGAAAGGGGAGCGTGCAGGGAAACCTTGAAGATTAAAGGAGCTGCAGCACAGCCTACTTCCACCATGAATTCTGTAGGCCCCTAACTGAAAGTTAGGATTCACCCAATGGGAAGGGCCATGTAAGAAAGAGCTGGTCTACACTGGAAATAAAATAGACAAGCAAAGTTAAACCATAAGCATTTCTTATCATCTCCTAATCCACATTCCCCCCCAGACGAGGCCCAGCTCCTGAATCCTGCACACGCTGCTAGTGTCTCAGGCTCACTGTTTCTCCAAGTCAGGCTTGGAGAAGGACACTTCGGATTGGTGGAACATTTCCACCAATCAGATAAAGCTGGGAGGGGCTTGTCCCACCCCTGCTCAGAGGGGTGAGGATGAGGAGCCCCTAGACCAGATTGAAGACTGTGCTTTGCAGATGTGGCAGACTTCAGGGCAGGGTTTACAGTGTCAATAAGAACCTAGCATGCTTGGCATGCTGGGCAGACATGGCAAGAGATGGCAAGGAGAGAGGAGCTCCACAGAAGACTGTCATCAGGACCCTGCCTGAGCCTTGACAGTGCATAGATCGGTGCATGGTGCTCAGGTTCTGGGAGCTGCTCGAGGTGGCTTGAGCCTGCGAACCTGGCTCGTGGCTGGGTGGGGTGGTGCATAGAGAGCCAGCCCTGGAAGGAGCTCAAAACTGCTCAGGCCCCAACAATGCACAGGTCAGCACATGGAGAGCTGGCCCTGGGAGCAGCTTGAGGCTGCACGGGCCCCACACACTGCGCAGGTCGGTGCACAGAGAGTCAACCTCGAGAGCAGCTTGAGGCTGCTCAAGTTATCTCCGGCTCTAGGCTGGGTAACCAGAGCCCTGCAGTGTGGCTCAGTATTAAACCAAAAGAGACCCTGTGCCCAGAGCAGAGCCCGGAAAGGGGAAAGACCCCCAGAATGAGGGCTCAGCTCCTGCAGGAGCTCCCTGGGTGCCCGGCACAGGGCCCAGAGGGAAGGGCCCCCAACTTGAGGCCGATGGCTCCAGGAGGCCTGAATCAGCACAGGGACCCAGAGGCCAGATCGACAGCCCCCAGTGGAAGGACCGTGAGTTACTGGGAACCTGTCTTCTGCAGGGGAAGCGCCCCCGGGCAAGGGACCCTGGGAGGAGTGGGCAGGGGGGAAGGCCCCACACACCCTCCACTCGCCAGGATAGGAGGGGAGCATACCCCAGATATACAGGGGGGATGGTCCTGTGGTACACCCAGGGGGCTTAGGGGGAGAAGACCCTATCCCATTTGAAGGTCCAAGTGGTTGGAACCCAGATAGGGTACACCCTTGGGTATATCTGGGCTACACTAGAAAAACTCTTGATTTGCCATTTTCTCCTCACCTGGGATCCTCTGTAAGGCCATAATGATTCCTCTGAGGTACATCAATTGTCAGCCAAAAGTCTACAATGAGAAGAATGCCTCACCCAGCTCCCAAAGAGCACCCTACCTGCCTGGCCCCTGGGTGCCACACTTGATTGTCAGTTACCTGATTGTCAGTTGGCAAATTGTCCAACCCAAATCCTCCTCAAGGATGGGCACTCCCAGGTCACAGTCCACTTGACCTCCAATTCATCACTGAGAGAGACACTGTTTTGAATGTCCCCAGCTTGCAGGAGCTTTAGCACAATTTGACCCCAGTATGAGTATGGAAGTCAGTAGCGTAAATGATGGTAGGTGAAAGTGGAATGAGCCCCCAAGTGCTGCCTAACCAGGGTCACTGTAATGGAGCTGGGCAGGTGCCTCACCCTCCCATCCAATGCACCCTGGACCTTCCCTACAGTAGCTCCAAATATGGCTCCAGCAGTGAGGAGGACAAAGCAGGGATGGTGCATGGAGTAGGAGGAGTGGCTGGAGATTTGCTGTTGACAGGAGAAAGTCACCTCCTTTTTTCATGCCCAATAGCAGGATTTTAATGTTAGTGGCCAAAAAAAGGTGACATCCTTCCCCAGCATCTGTGAGCCTCTGGCTGCTGCTCCCATGCTGTGCACTCCTATTGCCCAGGGCCCAGCATGGGCCACTTCCGTCTCTGAAGAAATCAGCCTTTTGCTTAATCTGGGGGTTGGGATCAGGTCTGGCTTACATCTCTGGGGACAAGATGGCAGAAAAACTCTTCATTGACTCTGGTGAATCTAAGGTTGAAAAAGGAGGCACAGGCAATGCGTAGTGGGGGCGTGGCAAGGCATGTGCCCCCCCCAAGATTGGCCCTCACCAGCTGGGAGTTGGGGCGCCAAGAGAAGCACCACCAGCACTTCCAGTTCTGCTGCTGGCACTTGTGGGGTTGGTGATCAGCCACTCGTGCCGCCGCACCCCCGCACCCCTTCCCCCCCCAGGAGGCACCAGTTGCCCATGAAAGGAGGGAAGACTATGAGGCTTTTCTCAGGTGACCTTCGATGTGTACCCCCTGTCACACACCAGGGTGTCAGTGCTGAGTGGTGAACATTGCCCAGGTGATGTGAAGAAGACAGAGGAGGGCTCCCCTCCTGTTTCCTGGAGACAACAGGGACCTCTTGAAAATGAAATCCCATTTCAGATGTCAAAGATTGCGCCTCACGTATGCCCGTATCAAAAGGGAAGAAGTCGAGTTTGCCCTGATGACGACCAATGTGGCCATACCCCCCAGATTCCAGGTTCCTGGAGTTGGGTTGGTGCAAATACCATGAAATCCAGTCCAGGATCACAGTCAATATCTTCTGTTTGGACCTTGTTCACCACAGCTCAGGGGAGGAAAGGAGGCAGCTTTCCCCAGGTCCCACTTACCCACGTGTCTGCAAGGACGAGGAGCAGCCACCTGCACTGATGGAGCCTCTGACAGCAACTGAAGGGAATCCCAGGGCACCGGAGCGATGATACGAATGCTGCCATGGCAACAGCAGAGGAGGGTTCCGTACAAGCCCCTCCCCCCACTTACCTCTGCAGGCCCCTCAGTTCCCCCACCTTGGCCCCATGGGCAGCATCAGTGAAGCCACTCAGATGCTACAAGCAAGCAGCTTCTCCCTTCTCTCCCTTGGTCATGTCATGTCTCAGCCCTTTTGGTGTTTGCCACCTGGGGCCAGGAAGGAATTTTTTTCCCCCTCTGAAATGTTACTGACTCTGGGGGAGGGAGGGTTACTTTTCTGACAGAACAGCGCAACATGTATTGTCCAGGCAGTATGGGTTTGACTACCTTGCTGATTCCACATTAGATCTTAGGTGGGATATGAATGGTTGTGGGAGATGCCAGAACCACCCTCTATCACTCACACACACCCCTTGCCATGCCCAGAAAAATGTGCATGGCTGGAAGGCCCTCAGGTAACTTAAGCCCTTGGGTCTAACTGTGCCCTGCTCCCCAACCCCCTGGCCCTCCATCGTACTCATAGCTTAGTAGCAGCTGCTGAATTCAGGACTGCATGTTCCAGTGGCTCAGATACAGACCTCCAAACATAGCTATGCAATACCAGAACACAACCTAGCCAAGCTGGGTTTTTTATTCTTTGTTTCTGTGTTTCTGTAATAGTTTTTAAGTCTTCTTTGTGTTTCTATATGAATATAGGTTGTAGCCGTGTTCATCTAAGGACATAGGCAGAAAAGGTTCTTTGGGTAAATCTGATATCTTTTATTAGACCAACTCAGATAGTTGGAAAAATTCTTCTTGGCAAGCTTTTGGGTATAAATACCCTTTGTCAGGCTGAGGAAGCATCTGCAGTTGGTGCGTGCTCTTCCTGGATGGAATGAGTAGTAAAGAAGCCAGAGGCTGGTATGCAAGTGAGAAAGGCAGTCAGGGAAGATGTAAGTTGAGGAGTTGGTGGGTGAGAGAGAGGCTGGGGGGGTCGGGGGAAGGAGGATGAATGTAGCAGGTAAATAGTGGAGAGGTACCTGATGAGTTGGATGTGAGGCAGGTTATAATGTCTCATAAATCCCATGTCTATATTTAGTCCATGGTTTTTTGTATCCAGGAGGTTGATGAAGTGAAGTTCATAGGCTCGTCTGTAAAAAGTGTTGTGTAAATTCCCTTTGCGGATTAGAACTGAGAGATTTGAGAAATGTTCCCGCACTGGTAACTGGGTATTTTTGTCTTTAATAGATTTTCATGTGTGTTCATTCTGATGCACAGTTGTTGTTTGGTCTCTCCTACCTGTCTTCCATCGGGGCATTTGGTGCATTGAATGAGATACTGTGTTTCCATACTATTTTGTAATATCTTGTAAGCTTTTATTGTAAGCTGCCCCAAGCCTTTTTTGGGCATGGGCAGCTAATTCTAGTACTTAAATATTTAAATAAATAGATATTGTTAGAGTGCATACAGCTCATTTTCTGTGTGTAATTGAAAAGCACCTGGAAAAAGTCATGTGGAGCTGCTTGAGAGAAGCAAGGCACTGGGGCAGCTCCACTGAGTTAGTTCAAGAGAACTGCCCTGCGATACATCTGGCAGAGAGGTTTTGTCTTGGACCTCTACCATTTCTCATCCCACTTGTATCCCTCAGCTTCCACATTTGTTTTCTCTATGAATGTCTCTATGTGAGGTTCCCTTGGAGCTGGGCTTGCACAGCAGCTTTTGGCTACAGGCTGAGGAGAGCCGCCCTCTTGCACCTAGCAGGAGCCAGGGCATTAACAAGCCTCATCAGGCTGCCTGCTTGTACAACTTGGCTGAAAAGAACAGGGATGAGGAGGGGTCAAAAACAGCAGGGGGTTTAAAGTGTAGGCATAGACTCCTCATCACTTGGAATTTGATCGACAAAGTTCAAACCTGGCCAAGGTTGTCAGCAAAAGGCACTGTGGAGTTGCTCTGGAGAATTGCTGTCATCAACAGGCGTAAAGGAGCATCTACTCTTGTTTCATCAGCTGCCATGTGTTGGCTAAGGGTTGTGTCACTTCGGGGATTACTCAGCTGACGCAAAGCTGGGGTTGTCAGCTTCAGGGCACCTTGTACAGGGATGCTAACAGACTTTGGTCAGCAAACCTTCATAGTTTAGCCCAGGCCTAAGGAGGGGAAGCTGAGGGCGTTTATGTAAGGAACCTTCATACATGGGTGTAAGCACACACAGTCATACACCAAATGGAGCTTATCTGTTTCACCTACTCCACTGGATTTATATATATCAAACTCTGATTTCTGACAGATCCATGCACACTTTTGCCCCTCTATTGGATGCAATTAGCCTTGTTAGTGTATTTGCAATTCCCTCCTGCTATTAGCTACCACCTTGCAAAACAAGCTGTAAGGGTGAAGTGGCTGGAAGTGCCTTTTCAATAATCCTGGTGCTATGAATCTCCATTTCAATGAAGACCTCGAACTCCCATTTGGCAGCTCCTTGTTAGTATTTCTTCATGCCATTAACTTAAGTTTACACAGTTCCAAATATTAGTCACAAACATCCATCTTTCACTGTTCTGAAGGTGCATTTTGAATTCACTCCCAGCATGTGGCTGTCCTAGTTACCTTGGGAATTATCTCCCTGCCCCTTTCCCTCCCTGACCCCCCCCCACACACATGCATGCATGCACACACACACACACCCCTGTTGCACATGTTGTCTCAACCTTATTTCTTTAATAAGTTACAAGTTTTTGTCTGCAATGCTGGGGAAGAGTCAAATCATGAGCTCTGTAATCCTTTTTTTCCAGCTCTTAACAGGAGCTGTTTTTTGAGTAGAGAACACCATCCCTTATGGATAATGCCATAGATAAGCTGTCACCTCTCAAAGACCAACA